TTTTTGATGTTCTCAGGCAACTGAATGTGCTGCAGCAGGCCGATTCATAGTTCAGTCGCTACGATATTCGAGATATCGAGATACATGCATATCTTTGTAATGTACTACTCATAAGGTTGCTGAGTAGTACTTTACAAAGTCTATCTTGATCATCAGTCGAGTCACTGGGCGGGTTAGCCATTGGGATATTATCGATCGTCATCACTCTCTCCCCTCTCATGGATCATGCGGTTCACAATTTCCATCTAATTGGTGTTTTTCCTGTCGGAAAGTCGCTTTGAAAGGAGGAATGGGTCTATTACACACCAATCGATGCGTTGTCGCACCGGCTGACAGAAAATGTTAGCGTGAACCTGACTTTACGCAACAGCTTGGTCAGGAATATGTCAACTCTACGGAGCTGTCGGCTTCGTTCATTGTATGGGGAACTAACAGAAGGGGAGTGTTATATCTGATGATTCGCCAATCTGACTGAGCTGCTGCTGACCCGCTCCAGCGCCTAGATGCCGAATAAAAGACTCACAGAAGGGAACACAAGAGCTATATTCCGAACAAGCGAGTGCGAGAGCGTGAGTGCGTGCGAGTGTGTGCGGTGCGGTGCACAACGGTGTCAGGGACACTGTCTGCACTTGGTCGAATGCTGACGCACGTGATCTGGCTTTGGTACGGGGCTGCAACGCGCTGCATATTGCGGGGGCGTTGTCTGACCTTGATCAACGCTGACTCGCGCTGTCTGGGTTCGATACAATGCTGTGAAGCGCTGCATATTGAGGGGGCGTTGTCTGTCTGGTCAACATCTAGCGGAGCTGAGAGTCTCGGTAGATTTTGGGCATTCAGTGGTTGCTTTCAGGAATGTGACCTTCCCGCTAGGGGGTTCAGTTGACGATAAGGCGAACGAAGCAATCTGATAGCATTGTCGAAGCTGATAGTGTTGAGGATATTTCCAGTTCAAGCCAGCTGTCCCTATTGAGTGAACATCTTTGGGAGAGGAGTTAAGAGTCCACTTTGGAGACACTAAGTGTGCACAGCGTCCGCTTTCGATAGATCGAAGCGGGTCATTGAATAAGTCACAACAGGATGCTTCGGAATGTCTATGTTCTTGAGGGACTCATAAGTCAGAATTACACTTCAACAGTTCCGTAAAGCTGTCATGGAAAGGAGATTTGTTGTGAACTGAAACGGTGTAGTACCGAAATGCACTCATCTTCAAACACATTTGGTTTTGTGAGAGACTCACCTGGAACTCAGCTGAATCTCTCGTTTGTGATGTTCTCAGGCTGTCGAAGAGTTTTCAACAGCCTTATGAGTGGTGCATTACGTACTTGAAATGGATAAAGAGGAATTTTCCAGAACGGGCCGAATTTGATCTACGACAGTGTGAGAAGACCGAAGTGAGACCTCGTCCAGTTAGTGAAATCACTCGTGACCGTGTGGCGGTCACTCACTAGATCACGCGTCACAAACCCTCAAACCACGTGACAATACAGCCGAACGTCTCCGTGTTCAAATTACTGGCCGGGATACCGCGGGTTTTAAACACCCTGGAGTTTCGTTTCTGGTTGTACATCGCTTTCCCTATTTCAGCACCAGTTCGCTTCATTTACACAACGGAATCACAATTTAGTAGTGACCCACTGACACTGCTTGTTTCTCAAAATGTTCCAAGAAACTGCGAAGTCGCTCTAAGTCTGATAGCGGGTGTAAAAAATACCTCTTTTTCATTCTTGCCTCAAGGTGTGGAATTCGTAATTCTAGGGTGAATATATATTTGTGGAGTCATTTCCGAATGTGCTGGTTAAACCGTGAAGAGCTATTCGACTGGTATCCGCGTGGGGTCTGCTGGTCAACAGTAGCCAAACCGTTGGAGGCCTGTGGGAGGCCGCAGGCAGTTTGCGCTGAGCTGAATCCGGTGCCTACGCACAAGCCCAGGCATTCATTAAATGAAACTGCGAGGCGTTTGATTACGATTGTCAGGCTATTTGTGTGAAGTATTATTTCTCGTCATTTAAGTGTCTTAGATCTTCGAAGAATCACCCTTTTCTCTGAACAAAAACGGTTGGTTTTGAACAGATGAAACTCCGTTTAGATTTATTTGACGTCAAGGTCACAGCGGAAACTACTCGCCACTTGTACTTCCGCCGTTGCGTTCGTAGAGGTCAAGGAGTTGATGATTGCTTACCTGGAAGTCTCGCCACAAGAAGGATTCATGTGGAACCGCGAGGTTGGTGATTTCTCATTTAGGGGTCAGTTATAACGAGAATATAATGCATTCACACCACAAATAATTGGGCAGCATAAAAGCTGTGCTCCCTAGATAATGGTTCCTCCCGGGGGAATAACGAGGGCCTAAAAGTACAGCGGAACTGAGGGACCCTTCCAATCATAGAGCATAAGACTTTCATGGTTTTGCTGTATCCCAGCTTGGATTTTGGCAGCACCTCCAGTCAAGTGGTTCCTCGAAGTGTGAAACACACCTACTACGCCCGGATAGCATTTTAAAGAAGTACTTCTTTCCTAGTTGACTCATCAGCGTCATCATGGATAATGTAAAGTCAGTGCTAAACACCGATGCTTCACTGCCGTAGGATGTACGAGGGCTGGGATACTGCCGGGGTGCCCACACCTAGTCAGGAGGACGGTTAGGGTCCTCAACCAAAACCATTGGCTCAAAAGCCTGACTGCAAGGCAGCGGTGCTTGGCGGGAAATGCCAATGCATTACCATTTCTACGGAACAAGTCGCCACATGTTCCAACCCCCAACCTTGAGGGCCAGGAGACTGTGTACGTCAGACCTCTAACCATAGAGACCAAGCTGGTATGAGAGACTTTGTGAGTGTCACGGGGACACTCCCCGGTATACCTCAATGGATCCTAGTAGACTGCGCAAGACTTTGTTCCCTTCAAGTCATTTCACGAAGCTTTTTCCTGTCTCTAGCGAATATAACGTGGGCCTTCCATCTACGTAGTTGCCGCTGAAATATGTGGTCAGTATCGGGACACTGAAGGGACGGTGGACTGCGGCTCCACAAATTAATTATTCTAGTGATGCTTCTCGTGGCTAATCAAGGTAGTGAGATAAGGTTGTGAGCTGTGAAGTCCGACGCTGAATATCCGGGCCTATACGGCTGGAACCAAAAGTGGATTGTTATATCTGCTGATTCATCAATCTGTGGTATCTGCTGCTGACCCGTTCCAGTGCCTAATGCCGGAGAAAAAAGACTCACATAAGGGGAACACAACCGCTATATTCCAAACAAATGAGTGCGAGAGCAAAAGTTACAACGGCCTCACGCTATTTCAAGGGGACTTTCTGACATTGATCCAGGCTGTCTGATGGGCGTTAGTGGACACCCATCAACATCGATCGTGCCTCCATGAAATGTCTGATCGCTGATCACATTCGGTCGTGCTTCTGTGACGAAAACACCCATCAACATCGATCGTGCCTCTATAAAATGTCTGAACGCAGATAACATTCGGTCGTGCTTCTTTGACGTGCATGAACACTCATCAGCCTTTGTCGAACCGACTGATGGTTGACCGGCCTGGATGCTTGCCGGCTTTCTTGTTGAGTTTTTGGTGGAGCAGTAGGTTCCGGGCGTTCTGAGGTTGCTTTCAGGAATCTGACCTTCCTGATATGGATCGATAGCTGTAGCGGCCGCGCTTGAACAGGAACGAATCGAGACATCAAAGGAGCCTACTTGACTTCACACAGGAGATAGGCAAAGTAAACTGGGAGCGATAACAGACAAAAAATGAACTGCCAGGTTGGTTTTATTGAGGTGTACCGACACTAGACGGAAAACACGAGCGATTTTTTACGAGTAAGCCATCTTCAGACAGGATATTCTGATGGAAGTAGGTAGGTAACATTTCACGAATTCCAGAAAGTTTTGAACTCATGCCCTCTCGACCAATATTCGAACTGCTACCCACCTGACCCGCTGATTAGTCTGAACTCAACCGTTTGGCCACGAGCAGCTGATTAGCAGTGTGACTAGCTCTCCTTTAGACGATACACAGTGCCATTCGTCGAAATAAGACTGACAGAAACTCAGGGGAAATTGAGCCTATCCAATGTACCCCCAAAAGAAGGGGAAAACCTCACTATGAGGTGTCTACAAGTGATTGCCTACACTGTGAATAGTCTCATGATAACTTGGCGTTTTTGGAAAAGCTCATCATTCGGTTCGGTCCACTTGCACTGTTTGTGACTCTCAGGAAGGTCAGATTCCTGAAAGTAACCCTATAACGCCCGGAACCCATTGAGACCCTAAAACTCCACCAAAATCTCAATAACAAAGCCGGCAAGCATCCAGGCCAGTCAATCATTCAACTCATTCAGCAAAATCTGATGAGTGTTCAGGCACGTCACAGAAGCACGACCCACTATGAGCAGGCATTTCATAGAGGCACGATTGATGGTGATGGGTGTTCACTAAACGCTTACCAGATAGCCTGGATCGGCGCTCAGTATTCGTACAATGAAATTGAATTTTAGATGGGATGAGGCAATCGAGCAACTGAATTCAGAGTACCAGTCCAATCTTTTGAGTCCCTTCTAGGCATCCCGGGGTTCAGGGATGCTGGGAAGTTATTCCACCAGACTTTTTCGCCAGAGGTATGATTGCTCCAGTGGACAATGAAATTTGGTGAGCTGCAAAAATAGGAACATAGATCAGGATGGTTTTTGGTTTGAGCACATATGCAACAAAATGCAGCATTGTG